TGTACGGCTTTTGGCTACACTGAAGAGTCATGAGCAACAGCTGAACTACAAATGCGAATACTCAGATGAACGTGTGGTGTCAGCAGAAAGGACCACACCTGAAACAGCTTCATAAGAAGCTCTTTAGGCGTAGCACCAATCTCAAAAAAGGTTATCGAAAACACGGTCCATTGCTTCAGTGAGGTGAAAAGAGGACCCATCGAGTACGTTGGAAATCTGGTGCACGTACTGATACTTATGGGAAAGAAAAGAATGGGAAGATGTTATCAAAAACGATTTGAAACTGAGAGGAGTCTCTGAAGGTCAAACTAATAACATGAAAGTGAGCAGGAGGTTAATTTGATTAGCGGATCCCTATTAATGGGGCGCGCTAGGAAAGAGAACAGGAATGCAGTGACTCCAATAAATACAGAAGATATCACAGAGTAGTTCATAGATGTCTAAACTAAAACTGAAACAATACAATCCTGTGTTACATTGAGCATATCATATAGTGCCGATGGACACCACCCAGGTCTCTGAGGATTAGCGATGACGCTTGGACACTGGGTTTTCTGAACGGTATGGTTCGAAACACTGTGCCAATGTAGGATAATGTGGTGTCCTGCTTCACTGGCATCGGGCAAAGTTGTCGTGCAGTGGGTGAATCATCGAGGCTATTTGTACACTTTGAGGGCAGAAGATTTGACTACCCATATTGTAAGATAACAGTAAGGCAGCCCGCGTAGTGTGGAGAACAGATTTAATGAACCAGGGATAATCTTAAAGTCACAAACTGCAACCCAAGATTCTTTTTATGCCATTGATGCAACTTTTTATTCCAAGTGTGTCGTTTCGCGCGGTATGTAGCTTATTGCTCTCTCTCTGTTGGGTAAATTGTCATTTACTTTTGGTTATTCGGCATTGAAAACAGCGCATTAATGGATAACGGGAGTAAGTGGGTGGATTTTGATGTCGTTATATGTCATCGACACAGATGGAAGGAGTTATGAATGTGATTCATTGAAAATCTGCTTGAGTTCTGCGCATAGATCCCTTTGCGATAAAGTATCTTACATTTAGGATGGCACGAATATGTGTATAAATCGGTAATTGATACATAGTTCTTCGACCGCTTACATCAAGATACAAGGAATGCCATTCGAATTAAAAATCAATGAACTCCACCGTTCACGGCCCAATGCTAAAGGAGGAGGGTTGAAGACCCTGGTGAAGTCTCCGTGAAACTTAGCCATCTGTACCCTTTTGATGTTGCTGTCACAGAACATTATATCGGCTCTGTCGTCGCCCATATTACTAACGGCCACGCAGGCTGTTGCTGGACCGAGGCAGGCTGCAAAAATTGAGCGATCAGAACCTGCACATCCTTTCTGTCTGCCAGGGGAGCAGCAGCACAACAACGGCTTCGACAGAACGACAATAGAAGAGGCAGATAGCCCAACGCCTCTATAGCATGTAAACAAAGGCTCCACGGCAACGACACCGGCAGTGGGAAAGAACGACCGGAAATTAGAACATATTGTCACTAAGAGGGAAAGAGCAGGAGCTAGTTGATCAGGCCGCAAAATATAAACACGATATAGCTGGTTTCTCGCCGAAGAAGCGCCAAGGCTCTGGAATCCTGAACCTCTGCGGGTGGAAGCTATTCTACTCCGGTGTCGATATCACGACGCGCGCTCAAGCCGTTGTTGGTCTTCTGGCAGAACCCAACCTAACAGATGGAATCATCGAACAGAAGCCTATTACCGCACGAGCAACAATTCTTCGATTGAAGCTACAATGGCTAAAGCGCTGACGTTATTACAGGTTCATGCGAACAATTTGGAGGGAAGATATGAGTCCTTGCTTGAGGTAGTGAAGTGTGCTCTGCACCCGGTGTCGACTAAGTCGTTTCTCATTCTAATGCGCAATTTTAATGCGCATGTCGGAGTAGACCGGAGAGTGAATATGAGTCTTCTCTGGAGGA